ATCAGTTAGAGAGAGATTGTAAAGAGAGATTGTATTCATTTTTTTTCTAAATCAGTTAGAGAGATAAATACAGAATTTCCTTATCATTTATTCTTCAATTTTCCTACAAACACGACGCCAGTAGGCCCAATCCCCTCCTCCCCCTCACCCTTTAGAAAATTTTTCTTGGGATAGCTTAAACTGAGCTTTGGACCTTCAATATCTGACTACAAAGAACTGTCAGATCACTGACCGTTATAGGGTTTGATCTATTATAATTATGATGCATTAACAAGGCGTTTGAACAGAACGGGATCTCTAGCAACTTCAAGTCATGCTATATATTTAGTTTAATCTTCTCACAAGCTCATGTAATCTTTTCCACTTGGTTTCTGACTGAACAGCTGATGCAACCAAGATCTACATAGAGCGATTCCGATTCGAACAAGAAGATAAATCTGGCTGTATAGGAAGGAAACTTTGCTATTTCGATGAAGTTCCGATTTTTTTAATCAAATCTAGGAAAGGTTTGACCTTGGTATAGCCAGATTTATCAATAATCAAATTTCGCTTCCTATAGGCTAATACTGCATCAGCAGTGCATTTGGCTCATCATGCATTCTGATACAGATCCTCCTGAAACCGGTTGTGCAGGTTAAAGTTGTGGCTATTCATTACGTACGTGGTATCGTTTGTTTCCCTCGCAGGAACAGTGGGCATGCTGGTACGGGACACACTAACCAATAAGGGTCCCTCTGCATGGACTGGTGTTGCCGGCATCTTTCAGTGTGTCTTTGTGTTGATCAGGTAAAATATTTAATGTATGTCACTTAATCTGAGTTGGAGTCTATTTAGATTAGGAAATATAGATTAGGAAATAAATTCAATTTTAGAGTCAAATTAGATTAGGAAACAAAATCAATTTTAATTCATGATTTGTTTCCTCTATTATAAGGAGTCTTTTTAGGATAGAATTTGATACTTTTTTATTTGTAATTCTAATCTTACTAGGAGTCTTATTTGATACTTTCTATTTTTGTAATTCTAGTTTTACTAGGAGTTTTATTTATTTTTGTATTTAAGAAGAGTCATGTAACCCCAAAGGAGAATAACTTTTCATCAATAAAATTTCTCTTTTCAATATTAGAAGAGTCATGTAACCCCAAAGGAGAATAACTTTTCATCAATAAAATTTCTCTTTTCAATATTTTCTTCGTGGATTCGAAGTTCTTCGTGGATTTGAAGATCGTTCTTTGTGGATTCAGAGAACACCCATGGTGGATTCCGAGGTTATCACTTCCACGCTGTATCAATTGGTATCAGAGCCTTGTTCCTCCGATTCGATGGCAGGTGATGAAGTCCATATTTCTTGAACCGAGTTCGACGTGCTGAAGACCAGTGTTAATCAGATGAAGACTACCGTAGAGCGACTTGCGTCAGCAGTGGAACGTCTGAACACGAGAGGAGTTCGAAATCGCATTAATTGTCACCATCGACGTGATTCGACTTCACATGATGAATTCAATAGTGACAATGACCCTAAGAAAGACCTTGGAGTTGGGAAGAGCACTAAAAAAGCAATAAAGAAAGAAGGATCACATCCAGAGAACAATATCTTCCGCACGAGGTGCACTGTGATGCAGTAGATTTGTGATGTTATTATTAACAATCACAGTAGAAAGAATCTTGTCTCTCGACGTATGATGAATAAGTTAGGTTTGAAGACAGAGAAACACTCACCTCTCTACAAGATCGACTAGATTCACAAGAGCAATGATGTGCAAAACGATGAGATACGTCATGTACCTTTTTCTATCGGTCACAGGTATTTTGATGATGTGTTGTGTGATGTGGTCAAGATGGATACTTGTCATATGATTTTAGGTAGGCTATGACAATTCGATATTGGAGCTACCCACAGAAGTAGAGACAATGTTTATATCTTCAAGAAAGATGGACGCCGAATGGTACTTCTGCCTCTTATAGAAAAGGAGCCATCTAAGATAAAAATACTGAGGAAAAGAAATCTTTGGTGGCAAATAACGAGGCTTTAGCAGAAAAATTGAAGCAATCTGAAGAGGTCTATGACTTGGTTGTAACTGAATAAGAAGAACATGTTCCTACCGAAATTCCTCCTAAGGTGCAAACAATCGTTATGCATGAGATTCATTATGGTGATATGATAGTGATCGTTATGCATGAGATTCATTATGGTGATATGATAGTGAAGATGGATGATATGCATGATATTCTCAAAGTGGTTGAGAGTGATATTACATTATGGTGATATGATAGTGAAGATGGATGATATGCATGATATTCTCAAAGTGGTTGAGAGTGATATTACACATATTGATGTTGTCTCGATGGAGGAGAAGGATAAATTAGAGAGTGAGACAATTGATGATATGTGTGAATTGCTTGGTGGATGACTATAGACAAAGGAGATGAAAGAATTATGTATGGGGTATGACGCGGGATTTTCTTCCCTAGAAGCAAAGTTGGTGAATAATTTTTTAAAGAATTTGATGATACTTCAAGCACTAGAATACGAGAAGCAACATGGAACATATTTTGTGAAGTTTTTGAAGTCAACTGCACATCCACATGCCGCAAATAAAAATACACATGATGTCGGAAAAAATAATATATGAATTTGATTCAGAAGAAGTCCTAGCCGAGAACGTAAAAGAACAATGGAGAAAATCAATGCTAAGTATAAGACGAATGCAGATCGATGCAGGTTAAGAAAGATATTTATCGATAAAGTTACTATTCAAGCAGATATAAGCTCGGGGCCGAGCTTCTTTCAACAAGGGGAGACTGATGTAGGACGCTTAATCTGAGTTGGAGTCTATTTATATTAGGAAATATAGATTAGGAAATAAATTTAATTTTAGAGTCAAATTAAATTAGAAAACAAAATCAATTTTGATTCATGATTTGTTTCCTCTATTATAAGGAGTCTTTTTAGGATAGAATTTAACACTTTTTTTTGTAATTCTAGTCTTACTTGGAGTCTTATTTGATACTTTCTATTTTTATAATTCTAGTCTTACTAGGAGTCTTATTTGTTTTTCTATTTAAAAAGAGTCATGTAACCCCAAAGGAGAATAACTTTTCATTAATAAAATTTTTCTTTTTAATATTTTCTTCATGGATTCAAAGTTCTTCGTGGATTCGAAGATCATTCTTTGTAGATTCAGAGAACACTCTTGGTGGATTCCGAGGTTATCACTTCCGCGCTGCGTTAATTTGACACTTTTTTTTATAATTCTAGTGTTACTAGGAACCTTATTTGATACTTTCTATTTTTATAATTCTAGTCTTACTAGGAGTCTTATTTTTTTCTATTTAAGAAGAGTTATGTAACCTCAAAGGAGAATAACTTTTTATCAATAAAATTTCCCTTTTCAATATTTTCTTTGTGGATTCGAAGTTCTTCGTGGATTCGAAGATCATTCTTTGTGGATTCAGAGAACACCCATGGTGGATTCTGAGGTTATCATTGATGTAGGACGTTTAATCTGAGTTGGAGCCTATTTAGATTAGGAAATATAGATTAGGAAATAAATTCAATTTTAGAGTCAAATTAGATTTGAAAACAAAATTAGTTTTGATTCATGATTTGTTTCCTCTATTATAAGGAGTCTTTTTAGGATAGAATTTGACACTTTTTTTTTCATGATTTGTTTCCTCTATTATAAGGAGTCTTTTTAGGATAGAATTTGACACTTTTTTTTTGTAATTCTAGTCTTACTAGGAGTCTTATTTGATGGAGTCTTTTTAGGATAGAATTTGACACTTTTTTTTTGTAATTCTAGTCTTACTAGGAGTCTTATTTGAAACTTGTCATATGCTTTTAGGTAGACCATGGCAATTTGATATTGGAGCTATCCACAGAAGTAGGGATAATGTTTACATCTTTAAGAAAGATGGACGCCAAATTGTACTTCTCCCTCTTACAGAAAAGGAGCCATCTAAGATAAAAGCTACTGAGGAAAAGAAACCTTCGGTGGCAAATAACGAAGCTTCAGCAGAAAACTTGAAGTAATCTAAAGAGGTCTATGACTTAGTTGTAACTGAAAAAAAAGAACATGTTCCTACCGAAATTCCTCCTAAGGTGCAAACAATCATTATGCATGAGATTCATTATGGTGATATGATAGTGAAGATGGATGATATGCATGATATTCTCAAAGGGGTTGAGAGTGATATTACACATATTGATGTTGTCTCGATGGAGGAGAAGGATAAATTAGAGAGTGAGAAAATTGATGATATGTGTGAATTGCTTGGTGGATGGCTATAGACAAAGGAGATGAAAGAATTATGTATGGGGTATGAAGCAGGATTTTCTTCCCTAGAAGCAAAGTTGGTGAATAATTTTACAAAGAATTTGATGATACTTCAAGCACTAGAATACGAGAAGCAACATGGAACATATTTTGTGGAGTTTTTGAAGTCAACTGCACATCCACATACCACAAATAAAATACACATGATATCGGAAAAAATAATATATGAATTTGATTCAGAAGAAATCCTAGCCGAGAACTTAAAAGAACAAATGGAGAAAATCAATGCTAAGTACAAGGCGGATGTTGATCGATGCAGGTTAAGAAAGATATTTATCGATATTCAAGCAAATATAAGCTCAGTGTCGAGCTTCTTTCAACAAGGGGAGACTGATGTAGGACGCTTAATCTGAGTTGGAGTCTATATAGATTAGAAAATAAATTTAATTTTAAAGTTAAATTAGATTAGGAAACAAAATCAATTTTGATTCATGATTTGTTTCCTCTATTATAAGGAGTCTTTTTAGGATAGAATTTGATACTTTTTTTTTTGTAATTCTAGTCTTACTAGTAGTCTTATTTGATACTTTCTATTTTTGTAATTCTAGTCTTACTAGGAGTCTTATTTGTTTTTCTATTTAAGAAGAGTAATGTAACCCAAAAGGAGAATAATTTTTCATCAATAAAATTTCTCTTTTCAATATTTTCTTCATGGATCCGAAGATCGTTCTTTGTGGATTCAGATAACACCCTTGGTGGATTCCGAGGTTATCATTTCCGCGCTGCGTCAATATTGATTTGGTTAATTGCACACAGAACACCTGTAGTATCGGCTGTTTTTAACTCATTACCCTTGCACTTTCATCGTTGCGATCCGGTAGGTTAAAATTTTCTTTCATTTTTCTCTTTTGTCTGTGGTGAAATTTTGGGAGATATAGCCCATGGTGAAACTTAGGGCTGTCCATCCGGGCCGGCCCGGCCCGGGAAACCGGGCCCGGGCCGGGCAAAACCCAAGCCCGGCCCCGGGCCCGGGTGGTCCGGCCCGGGCCCGGGCCTGAGCGGGCCGGACACCGGGCCGGCCCGGTTTGTTTTTTTTATAATTTTTTTTTTAAAATTTTAACAAAACCATAAATCATAAATTATTCAAGTACAAAAAATGATAAAAATAACTTCTTTATTAATAATCGGTAAATCCTTTACAAGTATAAATTTATTTTGAAATTCGTCGCATCACAATAGATGAGTACATCCCAACTAGGTTGGCACCTACTCACCCATATCACTATCATTTGCAACTTTTTTTTGAAATAATTTAATTCAAATTTAAAGCTAAGAAATAAAAATTACAATTTTATGAATATTATCTAATCATTATATCTATCTGCTAGTCCCAACTCTTCAAATTTATCTTCAATCATAGCAATCCGTTCGATGCCTTGTGTTCGCTTCTCGTATCTCCACCAATCCTGTAAGCACATCACCGCTTGTACAGTATACGGATCTAAGCATGTCCTGTGGTCGTCGATCAAACGTCCTGCTGTGCTGAAAGCGGATTCCGAGGCTACAGTCGAAACCTGCACTGATAGTAAGTCACGAACCATGGTGGAAAGTATAGGATATGAAACTGATCCATATACTTTCCACCATTGCAAAATATCTAAAGCATTTCCTTGACATCTAACTAAAGAAGCAGAAAAATATTCATCTATTTCAGAAACATCTAATCCTGATGAAGTTCCAGATCCACCAGTTAGTTCAGCTACCATTGCATACCTATCAAAACTTACACTTTTACCTCGACCTGTGCTCGAAGCTGAAGGTGCCGAAGCTGAAGACTGTTGTGTAGCTACACCATATCTAGCTGCATACTCATCATATAAGGTTTGAAAATAATTTCTAATAGCTAAATAATGAGTAGTAGCAGTAAGGGTGGATCCATCATCTAAGTCTATAATCTGTCCACCATACAATGATTGTAACAAACTTCGAAGGCCAATTTCCTTCAAGCATGGATCAATAAGAACACCAATACCAAAAATATGAGGAATAGGCCTAAAATACTTATTAAATTTACTCTCCATTTGAAAAATTATATTTCCAAAAGTATCATCCATACGATATTTTGCAAAAAATTTTTGAATATTTAAAATTTGTAAAGCAGCTAAAGTAATAGTTGGATAATAACAACCAGATAATAACATAGTAGCATCATAAAAAACTTGTAACATCTCATTTAATTTACATATAACTGTCCATTCATCTTCAGTTATTCCATAAGCACTACCAGAGCTAGAACTAGAAGCATAAAAATTTATAAAATCATTTATAATTTCTTTATATTCTATTGCTACAGATAACATTGCATAGGTGGAATTCCACCTATGGTCAACATCTTTTGGAATTAGTCTAGGCTTATAATTTTTTCTTTTACAACATTGTTTCCATCTTTTAATTCTCATTTCAGAAGCATTATGCATATTAGTAACTGTTCTAACTTTTTCTATCATGGGTTTAATTTCAGAAAATGCACTTTGAACAATTAAATTTAAAATATGACAGATACATCTAACATGAAAAAGCTCACCATGACATGGCAATGACAAAGTTATTTTCAGAAAATCAACAGCTACATTATTATTACTTGCATTATCTAGTGAAAGAGTAAATATTCTTTGATCAATTTCTAGTTTCATAAGTTCTTCAACAATTAAATTTGCAACATTAATACCAGTGTGTGACTCTTCAATTGCAATAAAAGAAACAACTCTTTTAAACATTTTCCAACTTTCATCAATCCAGTGTGCTGTTATACATAAATAACCAGTTTGCACTCTAGATGACCAAATATCAGAAGTTAAAGAAAATTTGCAGTTTAAATTTTTAAAATAAGAAATTATTTTTCCCTGTTCCTCAACATAATATTTTAAAATATCACGTTGACAGGTTTGACGAGAAAATTTTGTAAATGCAGGATAAAAACCATCTCTAAATAAATCTTCAAATTCATCATCTTCTACTAATTTAAAAGGAAGGTTTTTAAGAACAATAAACCTGATTACGCATTTCCGGGCTCGGGCAGCGTCATAATTCCAACTGCCGAGGGTACCTGAAGAGGATGATTGGGAAAGCATAGACTGCCGGATATCACCTTGTAGATTTTGGCCTTTGTTGTGTTTTTCAATATGCCGTTTGAGATGGTTGGTGCCGCTCTTATGATGAGCTTTGAATATCTGGCCGCACAACGCACATTTCGCATTCTGAGAGATGATCCTACCGTGTTCATCCTTGGTGACGTCTATCTTCTCAAAAAAATTCCATACATCAGACCTCGGCCTTTTTGGAGCTCTTGGTGCCGTAGATTCGTCGCCACCAGATTCAGGATTAACACCGGTAGGATGAGGAGTTGTTGTAGGAGGACTCATCTCTGGATCGGTAGGAGTTGCATGTTGCTCTTCATAATCAGACCCAGAAGCCATTTGTTGGAAGTATTAGAAAATACAAAAGATTATAGGATAGTATATTAGTATGAGATAGTATAAGATTGTATAAGAGAGTAGTAGAGAGAGAAATAGATGAGTTTTGTTGTGAGAAAATGAATTGAAACCCCCCCTCTATTTATAGAAGCAGCCCCCTAGGTAAATGACCAAAAAACCCTCGAAAAATAGCCGTTTTTTGACCGTTTTAAGGGGCAAAACGGTCAAAAGACCAAATCTGGCCGTTAGGCCAGATTTGGCCCGGGCCGGGCTGGGCAACGGTCACCTTTGTGACCGTTATGGCCGGGCCGGGCCGGGTCGGGCC